GAACCATTTGTAAGCGTACGAAGAATGACTTCATAATAATGGAATGCTTCAAAATTCTTCGTAAGCTACACTGAATATGGTTTTCACTTCGAATCTGTTCTTTGGCTACATCGAGAAAGGAATACACTCAGAGTCGGTCGCTGTGTTCGGCGATACTCTGTGCGCCAGAGACTTCAGGAGCGGGGAGTTCCCCGCGCTAGTGCGGCGTTGCGGCGTCCCGTCCGTCCCGTCTGTGCCCACCAACTTTCTGTGACTAGCTCTCTTTGGCGTTCTGAGAGTTCAGAAACTGAACTATCTTTTATTTTTGTTACATAAATAAAACAAATGAAATAAAAGTTATCAGCCATACAGCCATGCTGATAAAATACGTCCTTTGTTTTTACAGGCAGTTTTCACAGGAGAGAAATGCGACAGAGCAGAGGGCCCTCTGTGTTCATAACACAAATGCAGGGTGTTTTCGTCAGCGCTGTTTTTTCTTTGCGTTACTGTACCGCGTGCAGGCATGCAGACAGGCTGCATACTTGCACGGCGCTCAAGGCGCCACGGTGGTGAGCGACAGTAGGCAAGTAGTAGGCAAGCCGGCCGCACTCCCGCACCCGGCGAAGTGTAACCGGAAGAACGAACGGCGCTGACGGACCATCCTGTAGAAACATCGGGTCCATCGGGTTCTTGGTGTTCCGCCTGACCTATGACTGTCTGGTCCTAACCCACGTCATATAGGACTGAATAAGGGGACTAAACTTGTGTGCCAGAAATAAATGCGGCGCCAACAAGTAGTTTCTGCGTTATACGGCCACCAGCAATTGTCACCACACACACACATCCACTTACAAACCAGTAACCAGTCAGGCCGAAAGAAGAATCCAATCTACGCAGTGTGTCTCATACACCCCGTACTCGTTTTGGATTGTTGTTCTTGTACCGCTTCAGGAATACGTTGATGAGAGAGTAAGCAACCCGCCCACGCCCACGCACCTGACCGCGGCAACAGTTAATCCAAAAAATAGTACGGGGCCCCCTGTCTTTACTGCGCTTGATCCTAAAGTGCCTGCAGTTCTGTGCTGAGTATCTTTGCTCTCCGTACTTTCTGTTGCGCCTAGAAAATAACACACATACTTTTTTTATTCGGCTATTTATCAGAAAATTGGCTGGACCGGACTACCTTGCTCCACTATTTGCAGCAGCTGGCCAGGCTACGCGCCAGTCTGTCTAGCGAGTCTGCCTCTCCTCTCCCCCTCCCCGCCAGCCCGATCAGCTGGTCGAGTGCTGCGCGCGAGGAGGGGGCAGGGGCGGCTGGCGGGGAAGGGGGAAGGGGCCGGGACGAGCCTTACAGTTCACGCGAGCGAGGTGAGTCAGTCGTGGACGAGACGCCGGCACGGTCGGAGAGAAAGGCAAAGAGAGAGGGAAATAGAGAAGAAGTGAGTGAGTGAGCGAGTGAGTGAGAGACACAGCCGGCCAGAATCAAGAAAAGTGAGAGAACGAACTGTGCGTGCGAGTGCAGCAGGTTCAGGCGTTTATCCGTGAAAGTGAGAGACTGAGGGAGCTGGCTTTCGTAGAGTATACGCAACAGCGAGGACACACCATGCCGACCGGGGACGTGGCCGTGGCCCACGGCTTCCTCCAGGACGGCGGCGGCGGTGTCGGCAAGGTGTGCAGCAGCCCCGAGGCCAAGAGCGGGGGCCTGATCCTCGTGGGGCCCGGCAAGCACACGCAGCACGTCCAGGTAAGGGCCAAAGTGCACCCACATGAACCTGTACTCGATTTTTTCACTGCACTAGATTTTTGTCTGTGCGTTGCTCCGGTTGTAGGAAAATTTCTCTCCGATCTAGCGCGTACTTCTCAAAACAGGCCAAATTATACTCTGAAAAAACCGAGTGCACACAGTGTGGAGGTGAAAAAAAACGGTATATTTGAGAAGTTTAGATTAGAAACAGTTTTATATGCACCCAGAAAAACTGTTTCTTGTTTCAAGGACACTATCTCTCCCAAAGACCAGCATATTAAGGTTGCTAACATAAGTCGCTCAAAGCAACCTCTCAATTACATTTTTATTTCTGTACCCAATAAGAGAGAGCTGAGCCAGAGTCCGTCCGGAGGGAGATGGCACGGTCTTACTGACACCCGGAGTGCCACCCCACTACCAAGTACCGTCCGGGATGCAGTGTACCGGAACTAGTGTCCCAACGTCGCTGTACCGGATGGTGGGTTGCCGTGCCGGATCCTCGCGTAGGGTACTACTGGGTAGGGAGAGATGGGGAGGGGGGGGGGGACTACCGCTCTCCAGGATTTTAGTAGAGTCCTTCTAAAAAATGTTAAGAGTTACAATAAACTGCTTTGTTTTGTTTTTAATGCTAGGAATACACTTCTACAATGTCAAAGTTTCTAAAAAATTCAGGATGTAAACTGTCTGATTTTTTTAATAGCAAAGATAAACTTTTTGATTAGAGATAAGAGCCACTAAAAACAAAACGTAGAAAGTAGAGTGACGAGCACCCTGGTCCCTGGTCGTGGTCCACTCGGGTGCGGGTGGGGGGCGCCACCTGCCCAAGTGCACCCCCTGCCGGCCGGCTGGCCTCGCTTTCACCACCTCACTCGGTCTACTCGGCAGCACCGTCCCGACGACAAACCAACACAACCTGGACGACCGGTCACCCGCCGCGGCCATAGAGGATTATGTGTTGCCTCATCACATTTTTCGGCCTAATTAGCTTCATGTTTCAATGCAGACGGATAGGTAGCTGGGTCAAACTATGAGGTTAACCCTCTGAGAAGTGACACGACCAAAAATGTGTCGCTACGCTGTCGATTCGATAACGGTCAATTCTCACAGGACAAAAATGTCGACAGAAATGCGTCGCATGACTCAGGTCATTGCATTTCTTGTAATATTTACACGCTTCGCGAGTATTATTGACTTGTTCTTAGGTCATCGCGTCTGTGACGTTTAGTCTCGATCCCTTATCATTCCTTGGTAGCGGCTGTGACAGGATGCTAGTCCTTGGACGCCCCCCCCCTTTCCCCCTTCAATCTATCTCTCTCACTGTGCGCGCCATAGCACGCACGCAACCCCACGAAAATGTCGTCAGAGTATTTCTGGGAAACGCGCAAATACAGGCGTGAGGCGCATTCAGGTCAGCATGAAATAGCGTGGCGGTCAGGCGAAAACAGGGGCGGGCGCGAGGGAGTGCGAGGGAGAGCAGTGCGGCGGTGACCATGCGCTACGAAAATAATCAACCCACAACTCCTGTGATCGCGTCAGTGTTTCGCCGCGTAACGTTGTTACGCGGGCTCAATATGTGTGCGATCGAGATCACCGAGTGCTTATTATATTTATCACAAATTAGAGGAAACTAGTTCTATGTCGAACTTTTTTCGTTGTATTCGCCATAACCTGTCGAACTGGAGGGCGTAGGTGCGACGGCCGGCAGGTCTACACCGTCCGCACCTGGCTCCCGGCCTCCTGCGCTGGGGCCTGACGGGCCCGACCGGCTCCCGCCAAATTGGTGATCGCCAAGGTCCATGCGGGCAGAGGGTCGGAGGTCGGTCGGGGGGGAAGGTGAGGGAGGGAGGGGCGGGGCTTTCTCACACGGCAAGGCGAAAGAAGACAGGTCGCGGCGTCGGCGGCGAGTCGATCGGCCTCAACCTCCAGAAGCGGCGAGGAGAGGCCGAACCGGCGCGCCAAAGTGCCCCATCCTCCCGGCGGGCTGCTTGCGCAAGGCCCTAGGTGCGCCCGCCCCGCCCCGCCCCGCGAGTGGTGCAGCGGCGGCGGAGCTGTTAGATACTATGGCGGGAGCGTGATTTGTTTTCCGCAATGCGTTTTGCAACGAACGCGAAAAAAGGTCAGCGCGCGCTCGACGACGTGGTGGTGTTGTGGTCAACGTCGTGCTGATTATAGCGGTGGAGAAAAGAAACATGCGGCAACACATAAAAAAGCATTCGTGCGTTTTTGTGTTAGTGATTTACTATTGCGCGCTGTAGGTAGAAAATAAACGCGGCGTAGAGGCGCACGTGATGGGATTGTATCCATGGAGTGGTACTTTCTGCTGGTCACACCTCCACCTACCTGGTCGGCTCGGCGGCTGCTGCGCGGGAGCTATCCGCTCCGCACCGCGACGAAAAGGGCGGAGCTCATTAAACCGTCACGGCTGTTTGATCGGAGCTCCCAAGGCAAACATTTACAGTCTAATCAATCGAGGCGCGAATTTTATTCAAACCTTCCGTGAAGGTCGGCGGCAACGCGGGAGCGAAGGAGAGTGGGGGGAGGGTAGAGCCCGGACACTCGGGTGCTTCTCGTCGTCAAACGCGCGCCTGCTGCTGCGCGGCTATAGGGTGTGTGATCCGCGCCGTCATTTTCGAATGCTTATACTGTACCGGATTCACGCGTGCGGGCGGGCTTGCCTACCGTCGCTCGCCATGGCGCCGTGCGAGTATGCAACCCGTCCGCACGTAAGAATCCGGTACAGTATAAGCATTCGAAAATGACGGCGCGGATCACCCACCCTGTATGCGCTGTTCTTGTTCCATCCGACCGACAACTCGCAGAGAACAGCGGGCGGCTATGAGCTCGTCACGCCGAGGGCAAATCCGTTCTGGTGGCAGCGCGCTGAAATGACGGCAGTCCGCGCGGCCACTATAACGGTGAGATACGGTGCTACGCGACGCGGGCGGCGGCGCCCAGCAGCTTCAGACCCCCGCGCGCGAGAGGCGCGACGAGACCACCTGCATAGCGCAGTGTCGCATTATTATTATGCCGTTAGGAACAAGGTTTACTTCGAAATATAATATCAACGTTAATCGGCATTCAAACTGCAAATCTTTGTCGAACCGGGAACTTTAAACACTTTTACCTTTCGCGGTTAGAGACAGCCTAAATACACGAAATTGAACAAAGTCAATCATCACGATTAACATGATCTAAATATTTGAGTACTTTACATCCCCAGCCGCCACGGGCGCGGCAAGCACCACGGGGGCCCTTTCACAACTCTTGCCGCTTGACCTAACGGAACGCAACCGCGGCGCGAGCATTGTGCGTCTGGACCGCGGCCCGCCGGATCCGTTCCCAGGATGGATGCAATGGAGGCAGCGGGAGGCAGCAAGGAGGCAGCAGCACGGCAGGATTTGGGGAAAGACGTGGAAGAGGAAGAAGGGCTGAGCCCCGGGCTGAGCCCACGCCGTTAAGTTGGGGGAGGGATAGATTATGAATAAGAAAAATTATTTACCACAAAATGTCATGCCGTTTGTTTGCAATCAACCGTCTTTTTGCGCGGCGATTGAATACGATTCTACGACATCACATTTTTCAGTGCGGCAGTTATACAGGGTGGATTGGTGCATCCATAGACCCATTCCTTTATTTTACGTATACAGCACCGCATGCAGTCCTGCAGGCGGGCTTGCCTTCCCGACGCTCACCAACGGCACCTCGTGGCCCCGTGTCAGTATGCAACCCGCCCGCACGACTGCGTGCGTTACAGTCATAAGCAAGATAAAAGGCACAAGGGGTCTGTGGATGGAACACCCTGTACGTTGTTGTCGAAAATTCTCATCGCTGGAAAGTAAACTCGAAGTGCTTTCATCGCCATCGCCATTACGACTGGAAAATGCATAAAGTCAGACCGCCGCTCGCTGCCCAGCTCCGCGGGTCGCGGCGCGCCTAAAAGCGACACGCGTTATTTATGGCTGGCATCGCGGCCCACGTGTCCTCGCGGCCCGGCGCTGCTGCTGACCCCCGCGCATAGGGCGGCGCCGTGTGTGTGTGTGTGTGTGTGTGTGTGTGTGTGTGTGCACAGCCTCATTCGCGTTCCCGCAACCAACTTGAACACGAACGAGTTTCGAACGTAATTGGACGCGCACAATGTGATGTTCATCCCCTTTGGGGAGCCCCTCCCCCC